CTGCTGCCATTTTGTTTTCTAAGATATGGGCATTAAACCACTACCTCCAATTCTTCCCCTTCCCCTTCTTCTCTTCCTCCTCTTCCTCCATCTCTACTATTATGAAAAAAATATATCCTTCTTCTCCTTTTCCTTCTCTTTCTTCTCTTCCTTCTCCTTCTCCTCCTCCCTCTCTAGTATTATAAAAAAAATCCTTCCTTTTCCTTTTTTCCCTTCTCTTCCTTCTCCTTCCCCTCCTCCTCCTCCTCCTCCTGTTCCTCCATCTCTACTATTATGAAAAAAATCCTTCTTCTCCTTTTCCTTTTTTCTTCCTCGTCCTCCTCCATCTCTAGTATTATGAAAAAAAAATCTTCTTTTCCTTTTTCCCTTCTCACCTTTCTCCTTCTCCTTCCCCTCACCCTTCTTCTCCTCCTTTTCCTCCTCTTCCTTCTCTTTCCTCCTCCCCTCCTTCTCCTTCTATTTCTCCCACTCTTCTCCTCGCCTTTCTCCTTCTTTCTTCCTGAACCATTTCTGCAATTAAGAAACGCTAGAGATGACATTTTACTTTGAACTAATTTTATTCCAGCTAGTTAAATGAATGTATTTTCATCAGTTATGATTAGAAGCTTGGGGACTTCTCCAATTCTTGGAGAAGCCTGAAAGCATTATCAAATCAAGGCTGGTACAATCCAGGGCTGAGATAGACATTATCACACGTATAGAGGGGAGCTTTTGAAGAGATGCTCTTGAGTCTCCCTTACACACAATGGTACAATTCTATGTTTTAGGGGGGGTAAATCCAGCATCCCTGAGTTTAAGTGACTGCCCGTCCCAGAAACCATCAGAAAATTACCCCCTGCACTATATTCTAGGGACAAGTGGTTCTAGCAATTTTCCTTTCAACAGCATTTCTTACAAAATTGCAAGGCAGTGGTTCTTTTCTTTTTTCTTTTCCTATAAGTTTGGGTTTTGACTTTTTCTGCACGATTCGGCTTACCAAGCAGGAGTGACCTGCTGAGTAAATTATATATAAGACGTGAAAATTGAGGTGCCTAAAATATTAATTTCTCTGCATGGTAGCAATATCTTCTCAACCAACCCGCTCCCTGCCCCCTAACCCTCCACCTTCTAATCTCCATCTTGGGGGGAAAAAAAGTCTTTTCAGTCTTTGCTTAGTCCACAATTCATGTCCTACTTTGTACACCATGCAGATCAGCCATGTACAGCTAAGGTCTTCTCCACTGTCAGATTAAACATTAAGGATCCTGGGTAGCTTTTTCTCCAGTGATATTGAACTACTAACTAGAGCATACAATATATTTGCTAGGCCAATTTTTGGATACAGCTCGTCTGTCTGGAACCCGCACTACATATTGGATATTAATACAGTCGAGAAAGTCCAGAGATATTTCACAAGAAGAGTCCTTCCACTCAGAACAGAATACCTTACGCCACCAGACTTGAAAATTTAGGTTTAGACAACTTAGAACTAGGCCACCTTCGGTCCAACCTAAGCATAGTACACAAAATTATCCATTGTAATGTCCTACCCATCAACACACACACACACACACACACACACACACACACACACACAATGGAGAACCAAGCCGGAAATTGTCTGAACAAGCTGCCATAGATTCGATCAACTCCAAGGATAGTTCAATAAACCATGTTTTTTAAAAAAATCTTTCCCGTCCCAACTAAGAGCAGAATTTACAAGAAATTTCTCACCTGCTTTCATAACATTTCCTTTCCTTTCCAAAAGGTGACTTTCGACTTTTTTCAAAGCAAGCTCCGAAAAAATGGTGGATTATGCTTGAGAGGAGAAAGGAGAAAAACATCTTAAGCACAATTGCTTTAGAAAATTGCTGAGGTCGCACATCCAGATTAGGGATGATTTTTAGTGCGGTGTTCAGTTTTACGAAGCTTCTTACGGATGCCGGTGAAAGAAGGCTGCGTTACAATCAGAGAATTTGAAGATGGATCTAAAGCAATGGCTAATTCAATCAAGGGCTCTTCAGGTGAACTTTAATTGCCATTAGACCCAGTCTGCATAGCTAATTTGGCAAGCTTTAGGTTCCTCCTGCTGGCTTCATGTCTAATGTGCCCAACTGCCCCATTTCTAAAATAAATCCTTTATGCCTGGATAATTGGCAATTCCTGAATTTCCCTGGGTGCAGAAGGTTTCAGAGTTGAACCATTGTCCGATGGCTAGGTTTTTTTTAAAAAAAACCAGTGATTGAAGAGAAGGCTCTCTGTGAAATATATGTGATGTCCTTCAAGAGAAACCTGGTTGTCAAAATGTTTTTATATGACTTGAATGAAATGAAACCAGGTTGGCAAGAATTGAATTCTTTTCTTTCTTAGGTTCCCATTCTAACCCACTGCTTTGGGGACAACCCTCTATGTCCTAAACGGGATAGGCTCTCTTGCTTGAGGAAGGGGTTGGGTTTGTTGTGGCCTGCCAGTGGCCAGCAGAGCTGGCAGCAGATTTAGATAGTGAGGAGGTTGCGGCGAGAAACATGGGCCAGTCCTGGAGTCTGGGGAAGGGGCTCTGCATCAGATGCAGAGATGGGGCCAGGAAGTCCGACAGTTATCAGCTGCTTTCAGACTCGGACATCAGTGAGGCAGAAGAACAGCTGGAGCCTGTTCCCAGGGTGCACATGTGCAGAGCTGCCAGAAGAAGGGAACAGCTAAGGAACAAGGGTCAACTTGGGAGGAAAGCCACAGGTGGGTGGTGAATGGCCCCTCCTATAGGGAATAAAAGAGGAGCAAAAGGGGAGTTCGGCAGTTCAGCAGTTCAATTCACACCTGGCTCAAGGTTGATTCAGTCTTCCATCCTTCTGAGATCAGTAAAACAAGGACCCAGTTTGTTGGGAGCAAGTGTTGTGGTTCGATGGCAACAGGTGTGGACGGCTGAGGTCTCAGAGAGTGAGGACTCAGATGAGGGGCCTGCGTGTGATGCCAGGACTATCGGAGAGTAGAATGCTGCCTTCAGAGATTGTGGAGGCTGGCAGCAGTGATGAAGAAGTCCCCGAGGAGCCTGTGCCAAGTGCATGTGCGCGCAGGGCTGCTCGAAGGAAAGAGCAGCTGTGGCAGCACGGATGACTCGGGAGTAAGGCTGCAAGGTAATGGCCCCTCCCTTAAGAGGTAAACGCCAGCTGAGAAACCCGAATTCTTTGCAGGAAGCAAAGAAGTTTTTGCACTCAAGCCCTATGGACTTTCGGATTATCTTAGATTGCGTTTGTAGACTTTTTGTGTTTGAAATATTTCTTGGCAACTTTCTCTGGTGTTCTTGGCAGCCTTGCACAACCTTGGCAAGGCTCATTCTTATCAGAGACAATTAGTTTGAAACAGCCTTTTAACCCAGAAGGATCGGAATTCATAAAGAATCATTAAAAGGTTTTGCGGTTACCTCCGTTTCGTGTGTGTTTCCTTGGAACAAGGTTTGGGTCAGAACAGCAATACGCTGACCCTATAATCCACTTAGGGAGGGCTATACAGCACAGTGAAGCGGTATATAAGTCTAAATGCTATTTCTATCTCCTGATGTTCACAAGTTTTTCCATTAGCTCTGCACTGCAATGGTTGATCCTTCTCCTCTTTTGTTTTTTTTCCTCTTGGGTGGTGGCAGTGATAGAAAACGATTGGAAAATGAATAAATTCTTGGATCCTGCTCTCAACACCTTTTCAGGGTACCTGGTACTCTTCCATCTCTTCCTGTCTTCCCAGCCCCCGAAGAGAAGTACCTAATGGTTAAAAGAAAAAAGAGGAAAAAATACGATCATTATGTTGAAGTGTTGAGAGAGGAGGTCAGTGAATTTGACAAGAGGAAAGAAACTCATTTCCCCTGGGATCATTAGCCGTATTTTAGAGAACAGGCTCTGTAATTGCTATGGTAATTGGGCTCTGGAATTGCCTGTGAGAGCGTGTCGGTTATTTTTAATGTTAATTTCTGTGCAAGGGCAAGAGACGGAGTGTTACTTTCATGAGGTGTGCGTTGCAGGAAATGTTGAAAAGGGCCTTGATGAATCCGATCAAAAGCTCACCTGGTCTATAAAACTGTCACAATCCCAGCCAGGGGTTGCACATTCCCAGTTACCCCGAGGGCTGTTTTCTCACGAATGGATTGATCCTTTTGACTTCTTCCTTGCAGTCCTCTCGGATGGGAAGGATCATCAGCCAATATCTGGAGGGACAGTGACCTCTTCTTTCAAAAGAGGTCACGTCTGAGATGGCTAGGATGGAGAGGAATGGCCGTGCGTGGTCGAGATGACTCATGGAAGGAGGAAGCTAAGATGTTCCTCACCGGGAGACATTCAGAATCAGAATGGAGCTGGAAGGGACCTTGGAGGTCTTCTAGTCCAGCTCCTTGCTCAAGGAGGAGAACCTGAACCTATACCATCCCAGACAAGTGGCTGTCCAGTCTCTTCTTAAAAGCCTCCAGTGATGGAGCTTCCACGATTTCTGAAGGCAACTTCTGTTCCACTGGTTAATTGTCCTCCCTGTGAAGAAGTTTCTCCTTAATTCCAGGTTGCTTCTCTCCTTGATTAGTTTTCAACCATTGTTTCTTGTCCTGCCTTGGGGGTGCTTTCGAGAACAGGCTGACCCCCTTTTCTTTGGGGTAACACCCTGAAACCGTTCTTCATATATTTTAGTCTCCAGCTCCTTCATCATCTTAGTTGCTCTTCTTTGCACTTCCAAAGTCTCAACATCTTTGTTTGTAGTGTGACCAAAGCTGGATGCAATATTCCAGGTAGCCTTAACAATAAAGCGGTACTAATACATCACGTGATTGTGATTCTGTGCCTTTGTTCATATGCATTTTATTTATTTTAATTATTCACTTTATCGATTAGCCCTTGGGCCATATCAAAGTTCAGAGTCCCAGACACAAATTATTCTGATAAAATACGATTTGAAATGGACTTGGAATAAAATACGATTCAGAATGAAATGTTTTATTATTCATATTTTTATGCCTGTTACATTCCTAGACTTCGTTTTATTCTCCGCAGGTGCAAACAGATGTCCTATCCCGAAGACCTCCCCCAAGTCTCGGTGGTCTTCATTTTTGTAAATGAAGCCCTGTCTGTCATCCTACGCTCAGTTCACAGCGTTGTGAATCACACGCCATCCCACTTGCTCAAGGAGGTCATTCTGGTGGACGACAACAGCGACAACGGTAACTGTTCACAAGTGTTCCCAATGCCAGCTTGCTGGTTTGTGCTCCAGTTGCGTGGTCCATCCTGAGAGAAGGCCATTTCGGGTGGGATGGGGAAAGAGAGGAAGACTGTTTTGACCTAGACTTCCCCAACAGCACGAAGGTGACTCTTCGTCCCGATAAACCCCTTTTATTTAGTTTACAGTAAATTCCACTCCAGCAAAGTCCCGGCCAACAGTCTTTCAAGAGATTTCCCAATTACAAACCTTTATCAGGCTTGGAGAGCTGCCAGGCTGATATCTTCCAAACGCCACGCTGTAGCAGACAATACTTGGCAAGAATGCAGGAACAGATCTTCACCCAAATGGACTAATTATCTCCTGCAAAACTCCACTCCCCCTTTGCTCCTCTTTTATTCCCTATGGGAGGGGCCATTCACCATCCACCTATAGCTTTCCTCCCAAGTCGACCCTTGTTCCATAGCTGTTCCCTTCTTCTGGCAGCTCTGTGCACGCACACCCTGGGAATAGGCTCCAGCTGTTCTTCTGCCTCACTGATGTTCGACTCCGAAGGCAGCTGATGACTGCCAGCCTGCCCTGGCCCCATCTCTGCCTCCAACACAGACCACATGTCAGAGCCTTCCCCAGACTCCAGGACTAGCCCATGTTCCTCCCCAACCTCCTCATTATCCGAATCTGCTACCAACTCCACTGGCAGCAGGGGTGGGATTCTACAGGTTCTCACCTATTTGCTAGAACCGGTTGTTAACATTCTAAGCAGTTCAGAGAACCAGTTGTTAGAAGAAATTACTGGCCTAATCCTGTAAGGAAGGCAGGAAGGAAACATTCTGGTGTTGCTTACAGAAACTGCCTCTCCGTTAACCCTTATTATGTTCTTGGCAGGACTAGACTTCCTGTCTCTGGAACTTCTCTGGAGTTTTATTTTCCCCTCGTTTGCTGGTACTTTGCTTGTGTGGAGTGACCATTCAAAGTTACAATGGCACTGAAAAAAGTGACTTATGACTATTTTTCACACTTACGACTGTTGCAGCATCCCCACAGTCATGAGAGGCCAGGCAAGGAGATGTGTGCCTCGATGTGAGTGATGTTGAGTTGGATCACGTGACTATGGGGCTGCTGCAAAATTTAAAAAACGGTCCTAAAGTCGCTTTTTTCAGTGCTGTTGTATCTTCAAATGGTCACTAAACGGACTGTTTTAAGTCGTGTACTCCCTCAACATCAAGACCACGTAGAAACAACACTGGTTGCCAGTTGAATAACATTGTCTGTTTTCCTACCTACAGTTGAGCTGAAGTTTAATTTGGATCAATACGTTCACAAAAGATACCCAGGTTTGGTGAAAATAGTCCGCAATAATAAACGAGAAGGGTTGATCCGAGCAAGAATCCAAGGATGGAAAGCTTCAACGTCTCCAGTTGTCGGGTTTTTTGATGCTCACGTTGAATTCAACACTGGCTGGTAAGATGTTGTGTTAGTTGGCAAGCTCTGAAATTTCCAGCTGATGTGAGCTGACAGGGGAAAAGAACGAGAAAAAGCAATGAACCGTACCTTACAGGTCCCCAGAATCCATCTCTTGCCACACGTATTTCTCTCTTTCACAAAATAATATATCCTTTTTTAAAAAAAAACAAGTTTTATTGATTTTACAAACAAACAAACAAGACAAAACATCATTAAACATTAAAAACATAAAACCTCTTTCCATTGTAGATCCTTACAAGGCAGGTAACATATTGCTTTATATCACATACTTATAATTTATCCCATAATAATAATAATATAATAATAATAATATATTAATAATAATAATATATTCTTGAGTTGTTTATTTTACTTAACTTTGTTATCTAACTTCTAACATTTAAGCTATGGCTTTTCAATATTTATAGGTTATTCCTGGCTTACCGCTTTTTATATTTTGCAATTTTTATGCTGGTTATTTTATTCTGTTTCATCATATAAATATATTTTATTCCTCTCATTTCTCTGGTTGAAAAAAAAAAAAGGACACCCCAAAAGCTTATTTAAGAGTTGTTAGGGGAAAAAAAAAAATACCATTCATGTAACTTCAGAAGTAGGTTTTGAGACTGAACTTTAAGCAGCGGAAATATTTTTCCATAAGAAATTCATTAGACTCTTTGATAAACAAAACAAACCAACAGAGATTTTCTCTAATGGACAATCCATAAAAGACCTTGAGATGACAATTTTAGAACAGCGTTGTTTGTAAGGATCTCTTCAAGCTCAGCTAACGTGCTCTATCATGATAATTTCATGCCAGTTAAAGAAAATCTTGTTCAAACTTCCCATCCCATCAGACGGGTTGCCTGCTAGGAAAGCTTGTTTGCAACTGGCCACATCCATCATACGAATACCGAGACTTCTTTCACGTTAGCTGTGTAATGAGAGCATCAATTGAGTCCCCTCGAGATAGCTAGTCCTGAACTTATGGCCACAAGTGAGCCCAAAATGTATGCCGTTCAGTGAGAAATTTGTTAAGTGAGTTTTGTCCACTGGTGGGATTCATTTTTTTTTAACTACCAGCCCTGTGGGCGTGGCTTGGTGGGCGTGGCAGGGGAAGGATATACTGCAAAATCCCCATTCCCTCCCCACCCCACCGACCTGCTTTCCAGCTCTGTTCTCCTGTTCAGGGCAACCAAAGGAGACTCAATGGGAGGCAGAGAAGGGAAGGGGCCAGTCAGAGGTGGGATTTGCCGGTTCTCCAAACGACTCAAAATTTCTGCTACTGGTTCTCTAGAACCGGTCAGAACCGGCTGAATACCACCTCTGGTTTTGTCCCATTTTACGTTGTAATTGCCCCGTTGCTTAATCACTGCAGTTGTTAAATTAGTCACACGGTTGTTAAGGGAATCTGGCTTCTCCATTGTCAGAAGGTCACAAAAACGGATCGTGTGACCCTTGGATGCTGCAACCATCATAAATATGAGCCAGTTGTCAGGCGGCTGAATTTTGGTCACGTGAACTTGTAGGGCCACACCTGGAGTACTGCCTCCAATTTTGGTCACCATGATGTAAAAAAGACGTTGAGACTCTAGAAAGAGTGCAGAGAAGAGCAACCAAGATGATGAGGGGACTGGAGGCGAAAACATACGATGGACGGTTGCAGGAACTGAATGTCTAGTTTGATGAGAAGGACATGGACGGACATGAGAGCAGTCTTCCAGTATTTGAGGGGCTGCCCCAAAGAAGAGGGGGTCAAGCTGTTCTCCAAAGCACCTGAGTCGGGAAAAGAAGCAACGGATGGAAACTAATCATGGAGAGAAGCAACCTAGAACTAAGGAGAGATTTCCTAACAGTGAGGACAATCGACCTGTGGAACAACCTGCCTCCAGAAGTTGTAAATGCTCCAACACTGGAGGTTTTTAAGAAGAGATTGGGCAACCATTTGTCTGAAATGATGTAGGGTTTCCTGCCTAAGCAGAAAGCTGGACTAGAAGACCTCCAAGGTCCCTTCCTCCTATTCTATTCTATTCTATTCTATTCTATTCTATTCTATTCTATTC